ATTCCATTAATATGAAATGTCCTACACAGGCAAATCCACAGAGACCTAAAGTAGATCAGCGTTTACCAGGGGCTGGGGACTGTAGATGTTCTGAAATCAATGGTGCGAACGACTTCACAAGTCTACTAATTTGCTAAAACCACTGAATTCTCTCTCTCTCTCTCTCTCTCTCTCTCTCCCCACCCCCCCCCCCACACACACTATGGTCACCCCAGCCAGTGAGACTAGGGACCCAAAGTGTGACTTTCACCTTTTTTCGTTATATTCTCATAGTGCTTTTCCGTCTGTTTTTAGCTTTTGACCATAAACAGACCAAAAGCCCTCTCCAATGAATCCCAAATAACTGCCAGACTCCAATCCTGCGCACTGAGCTCTGGCCACCAAAGATGACACCCCATGCGATCACCTGCTCCCCCATGCAAGCGCCCTGAACCCTGGCTGAGAGCCTGGGGCTGCTGCCAGGGACACAGATAACCGAGTCCAGGATGGGACAGGGTGGGACACACGACAGAATGCCCAGGGCTGGACAGGGAGGTGAGGGAACCCCTCCAGCCAGGCACACATCCTGTAGATGCGAGGACACTCCCCACACCACCACTGCTGCCTCCCAGCTCCACCCTCTCTAAGCCACGATCTCCCGGGGGTGCCTCCAGCAGACCCCCTACCCCAGCCAGGCCTGGAGGACCTGCCCCCACAAACACCCCCGCCGACATTGCTCACCTCTGCCCTCCCTGCTCCACGTCCGTGCCCCCTCCAGGACCACCGCAGCAGCTTGGTGGGCACCCTCCAGCCCCCGCTCCCCATCCACACTGAGGCTCCGAGCCCCGAGACACAGCCTTGAACTCTCTACAGGCTGCCCAGACCCTCCAGACTGGACCGCCTACTCCCCTTCCCGGACTCTGTGTCCCATCTGCCTGGACAGGCCTCTGGACCCATGTGCAGAGGGCCGCCATGGGGCTTTGGGGGCTCTTTCACCACATACCCTCCCCTCACAGCCTGGCCTGTGTCACCTGAACTCCCCAGCCTGCCCTCCCACAGAGACCAGGGGCCTCTGCAGCCTCCCGCGGCCCAGCCTGGCTCTCCAGCCCCGCGGGGATCTGCTCTGGAGCCAGGGGCCGGCAGACAGGAAGTGGAGAAGGCCCTGGGAGGAGCAGGACGCTTCGGGGAACGCAGGGGGTTTCCAGGGGAGTGACATGTCCAGTGTGGACAGCGAGGCCCAGTGTGGACAGGGAGGTGCCCCGGGGTTCAGGGAGGGCACGAAGGTCACGGCAGGAGAGCTGCAGAGGCTGGATTCTGGAGGCAGATGGGGAAGGTGCATCCAAGAGGGCAAATAGGGCAAGGGTGGGGGCAGGGCGAATGCCAGCAGGGACCAGGCCAGGAGGCAGCGCCAGGCCCTCCCCAGCCAGTGAGTGACCAGGAGTGGGTGTGCAGAGCTGAGCAGGGGTCCCTGAGGGCCAAGCCTGCTAGTGCTCGCTGCGCCCCCGAGAGGGGAACCCCTGCCTCCTCCCTGCCTCCAGCCTAATAGGCCTCACCCCTCTTCCCCGAGGGGGGCAGCCCTCCACGCCAGGGGCCCATGGGCCAGGCCACAGGCTTCCATGGGCCCAAAGGGCTCACAGCCTCAGGCCCGCAGCCCACAGCTCGGCCTCCTCTGCCTCCTCGAGGCCATCCCCGGGCCTTGGCCATGGCCCTCACCAGCAAGGGCCCAGCCCAGCCCCCTACCCGTTCCCGAGGCTCAAGCCAGGAGCTGAGGGACTCGGGTCCCCCAGAAGCCTTCCCTATCACATCCAGCAGCCCCCACACCTGCTTCCCCAGTTCGCTGCTCTCAGCCGCCCCAGGCCCGTGCCGCACTCAGAGCTAAGCCACGGCACTGGCCACCTCGGGCAGGCGCCCTGCACCCGCGGGCAGCAACCAGGCCAGCCGGGGAGGGGCACAGCCAAGGCAGCTCCACACCTGTCCTAGAAGCCCGCAGGGTCCTGTCAGGCCTTGCTCCTGAGAGGTGGGCGCCATCCCAGGGAGCAGAGGGCCAGGGCTTTTCAGGCTGGGACACTCCAGCCTGATGCCCCAACGGGCTCTGGAGCCACATGGGAAGGTGCTGGACAGAGCGCTGTTCGTCCTGTGCGGCATCCCCACTTCCTTCAGAGCGGCCAGTTCATTTACAGTCCATCCTGGGGCCTACCAGGAAGGCTGCGGCCCAGTTGGGCAGCTGCCCCCTGCCCTGGATGTGTCCAGACGGATGCCCCTGGGCCAGGCCAGCTCACCCAAGACACACCTTCCCTCCCTGCAGGCTCATGAGCTCACAGTCAAAGCAGTGTCTCCAGCCCAAGCAAGTGGTCACAGAGGCAAGCGGGCCGGACACAGTGCTGGCGGGAGAAGCACATAGCACATCCACCCAGCCAGGGCCCGGGAAGCCATGAGTGGACGACCGCCCAGCGGAGATGAGCCTAGGGCCCGGTGAAACCTCCCCTGCCTGGGTGAGGTCAGTGGGTGGACAGCGGCTGCCCAGGGCTCCAGGCAAGGTCCCAGCAGGACCTCTCTCCCTGAACTGCCCTTGGGGGCAGAGCCAGCATAACCAGCCGTGTGCACTGGGACCTCTTCTGGGTGAGCCCTGCCCAGCGCCCCACCTCAACCCTCGCTAAGCCTCCGCAGGCCAGGGGCCAGGACTGCACCCATGCCTGCTCAGAGCTCACGCCCCAGGCGGCTGGGCTGCGAGCAGCAGACAGCAGCAAGGCCTGGGCAGACCCAGGGGCCCCTGGCGGGTTGAGCAGGGGCAGGGGTCTGCCAAAGTCCCCGAGAGGGCTCCTGTAGAGAGGAAGAGGGGGCTGACCCGACTTCCTCAGCCCACGGCTGCTCCCCAGCGGACAGTAAAGGGGCATCACAGGGTCCCTGCCAAGGCTGGGCGCCGGCCTAGGTGCTCACCAATTTGGGGAGGTGAGGAAAGACAGCAGCTATGCGACTCACTGCCAGACAGAGGCGGCTACCCGCGCTTCTGGGGGACGCGCCCAGCCGAGGGGCAGGGGACAGCTCAGACTGACCCACGTGTCTGCTGTGCACGGACGCCGGTCACAGGACACTGGCCAGGGCGGCCCACCCCACCCGCCCGCGCCGCACCATGCCCTATTAAGGGCATGACCACCGGGCTCCGCCGAGCGCGCTGCCGGCGGCCGCGCAGGTCGAGTGAGGCTGGGGGATGGCCAGGGGGCTGGGCTCCGATGGGGACGACCCCCGCAGACGAGGTGTCAGAGGCCGGACTGCCCGGCCGGAGGATTTGTCAGGGCCGGCCGGCAGGCAGCCCGCAGGGTGGGCGGGGGCTGCAGCCGTACCTTTGTACTTCTCGCGCACCTCCTCGTAGGCCTGGATGAAGTCCTGCTCGTCGGGCGGCGGCGGGGCGGCCATGGCGGCGGCGGGCTCGGGACGCGCGGGGCGCTGCCGCGCTGAGCGGGCTTCTGGTCCCCGGCTGCCACTCGGCCCTTGCGGCCGCGCGCGCCGCTTAAAGGGGCCGCCCCCGCCCCGCCCCGCACCCAGGATGCCCCACGGGCGGGCGGGGCCCCGGGGAGCGGCGGCCGCGCTCCCCGGCGCCTCCCGGCGTCCGAGGCTCCTAGTCTCCGCCCCGCGCTCCTCCCGGCGGGCGCACACCCCCTTCCCGCCCCCGACCCGGTCGTCGGCCCAAAGACGTCTCGAAATCTGCGCGCCCGGCCCGGCAGGGCCGCCTTCCTCGCTGTCCGCCAGACCCAGCGAGCTCACCTGGCCGCCCCTAGCGCGCCCACCCGCTTCCGCCCCCGCCGTCGCTACTGAGAGCTTTCCTTTGTAACCTTGGAGACCGAGTGTTTTCAGTATGAAATTCTTACGCTAAAAAGAAAAAAAAATTTAACTACGAATAAAACGGCTGAAATCGGGAATGTACAGAAGAAAATATGATTTTTTAAAAAGACAATGTCTTTGCTACCCATCAGATTGGCAAGCCCCGTCTTCCAGGGCTGAGAAACGCCCTCCCCCGGAACGCCCCGGCAGCGCCCCTCCAGCTGGAAACGCTGCGCACCCCATGTACAGAAGCCCCGGCTTCCAGGGCTCGCGGGACGGCACGGAGGGGTGGGGTGGGGGCGCTGACAGCGCCGGGGTCCGGGCTGCGATAGCACGTTCGGGATTCACCTTCCTTGGATGAAAGAGGGCCTCGTTCCTTCGCATCCAGATGTGACATGTGAAAACGATCGCAGTCCCGCCGCGCCCACAAGGCCCCGGGAAGCGGCACCCTCCAGCTCCCCGCACCCCCACAAGCTGTCCCTGTGCTCCCACCCACAACGTCCCTCGCTGCCGCCTGCACCGTCCCGCCCAGCACTGGGCTTCCTGGCCTCTTCCCACCCACGTCGGCCCACCCTCCCGGCCTCCTGCAGGGGCGCCGCCCGCCGCGCCCCCTCCCCAACCCCCTCATCATCATTCTGTCCTGCCCACGGGGCTGACCTGGAGACCCCCAGCTGTCTCCTCCCTTCGCAGCACATCCCGCCCCTCGCCTCTGGCCTTGGGTCACCTACTTCCCAGAGGGCGCAGCCGCTGTCCGCTGCCAGCCCACACGGTCAGGGTCCTCGCCCCGGACCTTCCCCGTCCTCCAGGATGGCAGCTACTGGAGGCCAGGCGGAACCTTGGCTCAGGGAGGGGCTGGGGCTCCACCAACCAGGTTGGACCCTCCTCTCCTGCCCCTACAGGTTTCTACTCCCTGGGAGGCGGCTCTGCCCCAGCAACCTAAGGAAGTGTCACCATCACTGCGGCCTGAGGGCTCGTCCTGAGAGCGGCGAGGCACCCTCCGCAAGCTCCACCTCCGGCCTGGTGCAGCTAACCGGGAGCGGCCAGCAGGTGGCGCTGTGCTGCGCGCAGTCACCCGGGACCGAGAGGCAAGCCGCCCTCGGGCCTCTCCTCCGAATCCCGAAGCCCGGCACAGAGCAGACAGCAGGGGCTCAGCCAACGGGCGAGAGCTGATGAACCGGACAGGCCGAGTTCCTGAGCGTTACCTGCAATGCGGATGACTGCTCTTTCGGCAGGGTCCAAGACACTCCCATTTCCTCCGGGGCCACCTCCACCTCGCCGGCTCCGCTGGGTTTTCTCCAGGTTCCAGGGCAGCGTGTCCCCAGGGCTGGGCGAGCCACTGCCCCCGTTGGAGCCATCCTCAACCACTGCCCGAACCTCCTGGTCCTCGCCCGACATGGCCTCCTGGAAAGAAAGCAGGAGGGGATCACACCTCTGTGTGTGGGACACACTGCCCCACACTGATCTACACATTCTCAGCCTAAACAGAGACCACCCCCCCCCCCGGCACAGGCACCCTGTCACCTGGACACTGACACCCACGCCACTCCTACGTCCCCCCTCTTCCACACGCTGAAGCCTCCCAACCCGGACAGGACGCACGACCCTCTCCCACCATCCACAGTTGGCCTCACTCTTCCAGCTCATCCTTCAGACACCCACACAGTGACCCCCCACCCCAGACATTGACCTCACTCCCTGCAGCGCCCAGACACTGACACCCCCAACACTCACTGCCACTCCCTTGTCTTAGTCAACCAAACACTGGCCCCTCCACACCATCGCCCAGGGGCTCACCCCATCAGAGGCCACCGATCCCAACCTCCACCCCATCGCACGGACACTGGCTTCCAGCCCCTCCGTGCCAAACCTGGACCCTCTCTCCCCTAATCCTCCGATCAGCAAGCAAGGCAGGCCATGGGGAACCACTGGCTGCTGCCCCTCCCCTCAAAGGCCTTCAGGGAAGGACCCAGACCTCAAGCCGGGGACACTAGCTCTACCTCCAAGCTGTCCAAGCCAACAGGGCTCCCCGTCGCCTTACCCAACCCCAGCGCAGCCCCACCTCGGTCTCCGCAGTGAAGCCCTATAAATAGCTGAAGCCGCATCGGCGTGGGCCGCGGAAGCTCTGCTGCAGCGAGGCTGGGAGGGAGCCTGGGCCGCCGCTCCAGCAGCCCACCCTGCGCGGCACGCACACGCCCGACGGGGGCCGCAGAAGCGCACCGGCACCGACGCGCGCACGCCCCTCAGCGCCCGGGCCCCCACGCGCGGGCGAGAAGGAGATGAACGGGGCTCCGTCCTGGCGGGGCTGGGCTGGCGCAGGGGCACAATGTGGGCTCTGTGCCTCTGCCCTCAGGTTGTAGGCTGGGAGGAGACGGTGGGCACCGAGTTGGGGGCCGCCCCGGCCCGCCCCGCCCCGCACAGCCCCTCCGCACCCTGCCTCCAGGCCAGCCCCCCTCTCCCGGAGCCCCGCCGCCAGCCGCACCCCGCCGGCAGCCTTTCCTGCCCACACCCCGGGCACCGCCCGTCCAGTTCCGCAGTCTCCGCGCGCGGAGGTGGCATCCTCCCGAGGGGAGGAAGGGCCTCGACGCAGCCTCTAGTTCCGGGCTGCCCCCACCCCAAGCCGCGGCTCCCGCCCGCCGCGTGCCTCCCTGTCCCGGCCCAGATCTTACGCGCGCTATGGCTCAGCTCTGCTGGGCTCGGCCGGTGCGGCCGGACTCCTGGTGCCGGGAGAGCTGCGCAGGCTGTGCGGGCGGGGCGACCCCAGAGCCCCGCCCCGGCCCCTAACCGAGCTCCGCCCGTGCGGTCCTGGTGCCCGAGTGCGTGCGGGGCTGGGGGGTCCCCGTGGCGGCGGGGCCGGAGCGCCAGCGCAGCTTCTCTCGAACAGCAAACCCCCCCCCCGGCCCCGCCTCCGCCGCCGGGCACGGCCCACTCCCCGCGCGCAGAGGGCGGCCCGTCGCCAAGGAGACGTCGTTAGGGGAGCGTGCGTGACACTAGGGCGACGCGGGGTCGCTCGGGGGCGCGCCGGGTCGGCCTCCGACCCCCAGTCCCCGTGGCTTTGCCTCGGCCCCGCCCCTAGCCACCCTCAAAACAGAGGTCTGACCCGGAGCTCCAGCAGAGCCCAAGCCAGGTTTCACAGGCACGTTTATTCAAACGACACAATCGCGCTCGGGCGAGGTCTGGTCCGGCCACCCTCCTCCCGGGCTCTGCTGACCCCTGGTGGTCGGCCCGGCCCAAGCCGGGGTGGGGAAACCCCGCCCAAGGGGGCACACAGCACCACGACAGGAGGCGGGGCGGTAGGGCTGTGCGGAGCGCGGAGCCTAGGGAGCGGGAGGCAGGGCCAGGGGGGCCTCTAGGGTCAGGTGGCTGGGGAGAGGCTAAGGAGCGCAGGGGCGTCTTCGGGGAGAGACCGGGACTTGTGCTTGCAAGTGATGAGGTGGGTGGGCAGCGCCTGGGTGTCGTGGAAGATGACGAAGATGCTGGGCCGGTGGAGGCAGTCCACCGCGCTGTCATAGCGCAGGAGCGCGTGCCCGGGGGGCCGCGGAGGGGGTGCCCGCAGCCCGCGCTGGCCCTGCCCGTAGTCACCGGTCAGCACCCGTGCCACGAACACTGCCTTGTGGCCCTCGGCATCCGGTGGCGAGTAGCGGTCCAGCACCGACAGGGAGGCGCGCTTGGCGAAGTACACGCCCTGTCCGTAGAGCGCACCTGTGGGGGGTGGGGGGGTCAGGGTGGCTCCAGGGAGCAGAGCCCACGCCCCGGAGGGACCCAGGCCTCACCATTGCGGCCGCAGAAGCTGCGGTTGAAGCCCTGCGCGCAGATGTCGGGGACGGTGGGCACAGGTGTGCCGTGGTACAGGACCTGCTCGGCCTGCCGCTCACAGCACTGCTCCAGGCGCTCCCGGTGCAGCGCGTACTGCTGCTGCAGCAGCGGGTGTAGCACGCGCTCCACCTGAGGCGGGTGGGCGTGGGGAATCAGTCAGAGCCAGGCCACTTGTGCCTCTGGGTTACCCAGCAGGGCTGAGCCCCAAAGAGCCCTCTTGGAGGAGTTCAGAGCCTGGGGAGACCCCAGAGCTCCTGCCATGCTCTACTCAGTAGCCCACATGAGGTTGGCCTTCGCCACCTCCACGGGGCCCTAAGTGGCACTGGAGGGTTTCCAGGGGGCCTGCAGGTGGACAACCCATCCACTAACCAAAATCCAGAGCCCACAGCCAGGCCTCTACAGAGAGAAGCTGAGCCCCATGCCTGCACTGCGGGCAGAACTTCACCCCCAACGCCAGGAGATACCCCAGACTTCCCAGTGATGGGAGACCTGGTGACCGTCCTGGTAGTCAACCAGGGGGAGCCAACTCAGGGACTCAAAAAGTTTCTAAAGAAATTCTAGTCACTTCAGACAGATGCAAATGAATATTGTATCCATGAAACAAGATTACCTACTGTGAAAAAAAAAACACTCTGAAAATTAGAGTGTTCTTACATTAAGGATGGAATTGCTGAACTGCATCCAGTGGGTAGGCTAAATAATAAGACGAAGATAAAGATCAGGAAGTGACTCAGAATGCAGAGCTAAAGAAAGAGTTGGGAACTGTGAAAGGACTGATGTGGGAGAGGGGCCAGGAGGTCTAAGATCTCAGTAGTAGGAACTCAACAAGAAGACGCCAGACAGGTGACGGGAGCAAATAAGGGCTTGGTGGAAGACAGTTTCTCTGAGCTGAAGGCGGCATCTTCAGATGGAAGAAACACCAAGGACAATGGGAGAGGCACACCTTTGGCCTCTACCTGCTGGGAAAACATCAGCCTTCAAAGTGAAAGGAAACTCTACAAGAGCACACAGACACACACACACACACACACACACACACACGCACACACACACCAAAGTCGATATACAAAGGTGGAAAAAATCTCACATTCTCATACTGGGCTTCTCACCACTAATACTGGATGCTAAGAGGCCACAGAAGGGTTTTGTTGGGTTTTTTTTCTTACCTTTCCAAGAACAAAAAAATTTTAAGGAGGAAAGAAAAAGAAAAAGATCTTCCAAAGATCTGAAGGAAAACATATTTTCATCCTGATTGCTATACCCAGCCACACTATTTATGGTGCAAACAAAATAAGTACAGATTAAGGCACATAAGAATCAGCTGTGCTTAAGTTCATAGAAATGTTTTAATAAACACATAGCATGTTTTGTTTGAAAAAATATCAATATCAAGTTGTAGTTGCAAAAGGCAAAATAAATTTAAAAGTCTAAGATGTTTATTACTCACTCAAGGAGATACTTCTACTAAACAGAAAAGAAATCTATGCAAGAGGGAGACGGAGTCACCAGGAGAAACTCAGCAGCCAAGCACCACAAAGAAAAACGAACAGAGTAAATGAAGTTAACAGCCATTCGTCCTTGACTCCTAGAATATTCTCTTTCAGGCAACGTGGTTTTAATAACCAGGTTTTTCCTTCCCCTTTGCCCTCTCTGGTCCAGTGGTAAATATTTTTTCATTATCATAATATATTGATCAACCTAAGGCCCAAACATGAGTTTGAGCGAGCTCCAGGAGTTAGTGATAGACAGGGAAGCCTGGCATGCTGCAGTCCATGGGGTCACAGAGTTGGAACAACTGAGTGACTGAACTGAACTGAACTGATGGCCCAAGTATGGAGCTTCATGACAGTCAGACGATGATGTTGGTTTGTCAACCTTGCCAACATAAAAATAATGTCACCGACCAAGAGACAGATGGTCTCTTGACCATCTCTTGAGATGGAAGAGGGAAGAAATGATGGGGGAAGAGAAGCCTGTCCTCCACATCTTCTCTGGAGGGAGGCAAGAGACAGTCTCTAAAATTAAGTGGAGAAAAGACTCAAGCGGACCACGTCAGTCACAGAGGTCCTGCTGGAAGAAGTTGCACAGGCAACTAGCCAAACCTCAAGAGGAGCCTGGGGCCCGAATGCAGGAGGTCTGTCCATCGCAAAGGGCAAGAGTGATGGCTGCTAAGTCCAGAAATGGAAGCAAAGTCCTCCCCTGGAGTTACAGCAGCAGAACCAGGAGAGTGGTGGTGCTGCTGCTGGCTGACCAGTCCAAGGCTGGGGAAGGCCTGGGGTTCTGCATTTCTGACCAGATCCAGGCTGCTGATGCTGCTACCCCCACCCCCAGGCCCACCCACCCACAGCTCAGTGCCTCAAGAGTCAAGGGGCCGCCTGGCTTCCCAGCTCTCGGCTGGCCCCAGATCCCTGCCCCTCGGCCGTGAGCGTGCAGCCCAGCTCATGCTCAGTTATCCTGTCTCTGGACACTGCTCTCACACTCTCGCGCCAGCCGACCAGCCTGGCTCAGCCTCCTCCTCAGCCCTTCCTTCTGGCCCTACCGGCCCTCGGGACACCACTGCCTCCATTGTCCACCCCATTGCCTCGCGAGCCCCTCCATCTCAGCCTCCTTTTCCTTCCTTCTGGCCCCCCACCAGTAGTTCCCAGCCTTTTCTGCAACGAGACCAGGCTCAGAGCTGCCACTTTTTACAAGTGAATGCAGGAAGAGGCTGTAGTCAGCCCTCTTCTTGCTGGAGCCACACCTGTGGGAGGCAGAGGAGCCCCCAGAGGTGCAGTCTGCAGAAGGAGCAATCCTCAGAGCAGCCACGAGATGGCGGCGGCACCCCACGCTCTAGGCAAGGAGGCTGCAGTAGGCACCTGTCACTGGCAGAGTGGGGACCCGGGCTGGGACCCCCAACTTCCACAGCTTTCTGTCTCCCTGTTCCACACTTGGGAACACCATTCTGGCAGGAAAAGGAGCTAGGGAAGCCCGGGCTCCCCTGCCCATCATGGCCTTCAACCCGCTGGGCGGCTTTTGGCCATGGGCTCTGCAAAGCAAAATGTGCCAGGAGCCCAGAGGCCAGAGGCGGCAAGACAGAGTGGCCTTACCCGCACCACGTGGATCCTGCCACGGGCCGTGTCCAGCGTGTCACAGAAGGCCTGCACCACTGCCTGGAACTCACTGCTGCTCTCAGCAAGACGCTCCAGCCTGCCCAGGGGCTCCTTCGGCCTCTGCTGTGGCACTGAGGCAGGAAGGAAAAAGGCTGTGCGCCATGCCCGGGGCACCAGTCGCCCCTACCCTCCCCGTCCCCTTCCAGGCTGCGGACTCACACGTGGAGCAGGAAGCGACCAAGGGAAAGGCCGAGCTCTGATCCCGGGGGCCAGCCAGCAGCGCTGCCAGGTGGCGGGCCGCGTGGGTAGGCTGGACCCCAAAGCCGCGGAGGACGATATGGCCACTGCGCCGGACAACACTCACGCCGTGGCACCACTCCAGGCGGGCACACAGCTCTGCCGGCAGCATGCAGCTCGGGGCCCCCACCAGCTCCTCCCTGAGGTGCACCTCCAAGGCAGCCTCCAGGGCCCGGTCCAGCTCATCCATATCCCGCTCAAAAGCAGCGTGCACCTCCAGCTGGGCCCAGCCACCTGGGCCCTGGCCCCAGAGGAGCTCCTGTCCCCCACTCAGGGACAGCGGCTCCATCAGGGAGAGCGCCAGGGCCCGCTGCAGCGCAGCCTCCTCCTGCTCGGCTGCCTGGCCCCGCGGCTGCAGGGACCGGTAGAGCGCCAGCTGCAGCTCAGCCTCCTCCTGCAGCCGCCCAGGCTCTCTGGTGCTGGGGGCTGAGGGCCCCTCCCCAGACCCAGGGGCCGTCGCCTCCTCCTTCTCCTCCTGCTGCCCCTCAGGCTCCTCCTCCCCTAGCTCCAGCGGCAGCCAGTCTTCCCCATCCAGGCCCTCCAGGGTGGCCAGCAGCTCTTGGACCTCCTCTGGGGGGCAGGGAGAGGCACCCGGTCAAGGGTCGAACCCAGCCAGGACGGGGCAGTCAGGGGCCGGGAGGAAGACGGAGACAGGGGTTTGAGGGTATCTGCTCAGCAGATGGGCACAGTGCAGAGTAGCGTGGAAGCTGAAGTCAAGAAAGGGTTGCAGGATGTCCCGGGGCCCCAGGGAGCCCTACCCAGGCCTGCATTCTCCTGGTCACCGTCTGGATCATCTGGAGGCCACAGGGTGGAGGAGAGGCCAGGGAGGGCCTGCAGGGCCTCAGTGGGGCCCACCTGTTGGGAGAGAGTATCAGGGCCCCTGGAACACCTGCCCCCCAAGGCGTCTGAGCAAGGGTGGAGGCAGCGCCGAGCAGGGGTAACAAGGGGAGGGCGGGGCAGGCTCCGTGTCCACCTCTTCCAGGTCTGTGTCCAGGACAGCCCCAGCCAGATGCTCTGTCCCAAAGACGCACTGGAACTGTGCCTCCAGCTCCCGGAGAAGGTGCTGCCCCTCTGGGCTCAGCAGGAACCTGGCACTGCCTGGGTGCTTCAGGCTCAGCATGTGACAGCTAACACTGCCCAGCAGACTTTGCAGAAACTCCTCGGCTGCCCGGCATGGGGCCAGGGCTCCACAGAGCTGCAGGACCGTGGGGCGGGGGGGGCAGTTGGCAAGTTTAGCGCACAGGAAAGACACCCGGAGCCCCCAGTGGCAGAGGAGGATCAAAGGTGAGGACTCCTCAGAGGCTGCTCACCCGGAATCCAGTCGTATCTGATCCTTCGAGCGGGAAGAGGGCCACATCTCCCAGGCCGGCGAGAAGGTCCTCATGATAGAGCTGAATGAAGCGCATTGCTCCCGGCTCCATCGCCAGCACCGTCTCCACCAGGCCCTCCTGCCCCGGTGACCCCGTGGGCCCCAGGCTCACTGACGCCACCTGCTCTGAAGACCTCACAGCGATCTCCACTGAGTCCAAAGACCCCACAGTCCTCGGGCTCCCCGGCCCCTCCTCTTCTGAAGATCCCCCGGGCCCTGAGCTGACTGGCCCAGCCCGTGCCAGGAATGAGCTGTCCCAGCGAGGGCCTGTGCTCAGAGAGGCTCCTGACTGCCCTGGCGCCTCCTCAGAGCCCAGTGTGACATCCCCAGCATGATTCTGTACCCTTGCTGGTCCTCCTGCCTCGTGGAGAACATGCTCGGGGGCCCCAGGCCCCAGCTCTCCTGGGCGGCTCCCTCCACTGGCATCCTCGGTGAGCTCCTCAGGCTCCAGGACATCATAGTGGGGGACAAGACTCAGCTCTGAGCCCTGCAGCGAGTGGTCCCGCTGCAGCACCCGTTCGGCCACTTGGAAGAAGGGAAAGAACAGAAGGTCATCAGGGCTCCACGCCATGGTGGGGGACTGCCCTGTCCTGCCCCACTCACCCTGCCAGTGCCGAAAGGAGACCACGGTGCCCAGGTGCCCCGGGAGGCTGCGTATGCCCTCCAGGGGCCCCCCGCCACTGCGGCGCTCATTCTCCAGGTACAGCTCCAGAAGCAGCAGGTCTGCAGGGGGGCCACCTCCTACCACACGCACTGCCCGGGCCTGGGGCACCCAGGCCAGGGAGACCTCAGCCCCCTCCAGGCCCAGGGCCCGGGCATGCTCCTCCAGGACTCCAGCTTCTGTGGGGAGGATGCAAGTCAGAGCAGGGTGCCTCCCCTAACAGGCAGGCCGCCCCAATCCCGCCTCTTACCTGCCTCAGAAAGGGGCTTGGGCAGTTGTACCAGAGCGCGATCTGGTCGGGGACTGGCCAGGGCCTGGCAAGGCTGCTCCGGGTGCCCGATGGCACAAAGCAGAGCTTGAACGTACTGCTCCAGGAGCTGGGGTGTGGTGCCAGGAGGCAGTCCTTGGAGCAGCAGGCGCGCAGGGGCGCGTGGTGGGGCTGGCCGCAGGCTCAGCCGAGCCCCCTGGAGAGTGTGCTCCGGCTGGGCCAGGACCCTCGCGGCATCTGTGGGCAAGGGGAGTGTGCAGTCAGGGCCGGTGGCCAGCGGGGCCCAGGCTGCCCCTTTCCGATGGTCCCTCACCTGCAGGCTCCTCAAAGGTGAGGATGCCCCCGCGGCCAAGTCTCTGCCAACTCGCCACAGGCCCACCCCCCGAGCTTCGGCGGTTCTCGAAGTAGAGCGTGAGCAGCTCGTCCTGGACGCTGGGGGGCAGGCCACTGAGCTCCACGGCCGTTCCCGCCTGTGCCTCTGCCTCCCCCATCGCTGCCCTGGGGCCGGAAGAGGGGGCAGGCAGCAGCCCCACCGTTCCGCCTCTCGCAGCCCGGGTCCCTTGGCAGCGTTCCCTGACTCCCCCTTCACCGTGCAGGAGACCTACATCCCCCCACTTATGCCCCCCAACCCCAGCCTGGGCCGCCCCAGTCTGGGCCTTCAGCCGGGACTCCCTCCCCGCACCCTGGGACAGGAAAGCAAAAGTGAAACTGTTGCAGGAAGGGAGGAGCCCGCAGTGCTGGGCGAGTGTGGCCTTTCAGGTGCTTCCCTCCTCAGGCTCCTCCTGCAGGATATTCCAGCCCTGCCCACCCCCCACTCCCTCAGCCCTCAGCCCACCTGTTCTGTCATCTGTCTCACCCCAGCCCAGTGGCTGGCAAGATGTGGGGAGTGGCCCCTGGAGGTCCTCCACTCCCACTGGCCCTTCCCTGTGAACCTCAAGACACCAAGCCAATCACCCTCCCTAGTAAATCCGCCAGGGTTCTTGAGCCATTGCCCCCAACTCAAAGACCTCAAGCCTCTGTGTTCCCTTCCCCCACTGAAGAGACTTTGGGTCTGGCTGAGGCTGGCTTTCCTTTTTTTTTTTTAAATTAATTAATTTTTTTTTCATTTATTATTATTTGGAGGCTAATTACAATATTGTAGTGGTTTTTGTCATACATTGACATGAATCAGCCATGGATTTACATGTATTCCCCATCCCGATTCACCCCTCCCACCTCCCTCTCGACCCGATTCCTCTGGGTCTTCCCAGTGCACCAGGCCCGAGCACCTGTCTCATGCATCCAGCCTGGACTGGTGATCTGTTTCACCCTAGATAATATACATGTTTCAATGCTGTTCTCTCTAAACATCCCACCCTCGCCTTCTCCCACAGAGTCCAAAATTCTGTTCTGTACATTTGTGTGTCTTTTTCTGTTTTGCATATAGGGTTATCGTCACCATCCTTCTAAATTCCATATATATGCATTAGTATACGGTATTGGTCTTTATCTTTCTGGCTTACTTCACTCTGTATAATGGGCTCCAGTTTCATCCATCTCATTAGAACTGATTCAAATGAATGAGGCTGGCTTTCAACTCTTCCCAGCAACCTTGGCACCTGCACCTGCACTCACCCTTCAACAACTCAAAGGTGGCTGACCTCCCATCTTGCAAGGGCGAGCAGCTCAGCTCCTGACCCTGGAGGGGTACGTCCCCATCACTGCCGACCCACAGCACTGCCACGCCTCTCGCCTGGCTGCACCTTTAGAACCCACATTCCCTCTTGCCACCCAGTCGCCCCTTCCCTGGTGCCCATACTCCATTGGCTTCCAGCCTCTGGAAGAGTTGTGCCCACAGTGCTCTCCACCCCCACCCCCCCACTTAGCCCTCAGCAACAAAAACTTCCCTCAACCCCTGCTACTTCTGCAAGGGATTGAGGGCCTGTCCAGCCTGTACCCTGAGCTGTCCCCACCCTGGTCTGAGCCTCTATCATCGCTCATCTAGACATGTCTCTGACTTCTGAACTGATCTCTCTCTGCCACTCCTGCCCTCTTGCACCGTCCATCCTCAACAGAGGGCAGGGTGTGCCTTATAAGTCGCACCAACAGCTGCTAAAGATTGGACCATGGTAAAGCCAAAGTCCTTTGGAAGACCTGCCAGGCTGGACTGACCAGGCCCCAGTCCCTGCTGGCCGAAAGCCCCCTGCATCCCCCATGCTCTGCCATCCAGTGCAGCAGACCCTCCCTCCCTGATGCCTTTGTACTGGCCCTTCCCTCTTCTAGACCAGCCTTTCCCACGGGGCCACCTGGCCACCCCTCCCCCCAACTCACCTTACTAGGCTCTTGGTGGCAGGTTTAACTTGAACTTAAAAGTCTTCAAGGACCCTCCTAAAACCCTGACCTCGACTTCACATTTGTCGTTTTTAGGTTTTCTTCTTTAAAAAAGGGCCCTCAAATTGTATGAGCTTCTAGTTGTACAAAACCTGAAGTCACCCCTGCCTGCTCTATGCTTTGTCTTCTCATGGAACTCATTGTCAACAAAGGTCCATCTAGTCAAGGCTACGGTTTTTCCAGTAGTCATATATGGATGTGAGAGTTGGACTATAAAGAAAGCTGAGCGCAGAAAAATTGATGCTTTTGAACTATGGTGTTGGAGAAGACTCTTGAGAGTCCCTTGGACTGCAAGGAGATCCAGCCAATCCATCCTAAAACAGATCAGTCCTGAGTATTCATTGGAAGGATGGATGTTGAAGCTGAAACTCCAATAATTTGGCCACCTGATGCGAAGAGCTGACTCATTTGAAAAGACCCTGATGCTGGGAAAGATTGAGGGCAGGAGGAGAAGGGGACGACAGAGGATGAGATGGTTGGATGGCATCACCGACTCAATGGACATGAGTTTGGGTAGACTCCGGGAGTTGGTGATGGACAGGGAGGCCTGGCGTGCTGCGGTTCATGGGATTGCAAAGAGTCGGACACGACTGAGCGACTGAACTGAAATGGAACTCGTTGCATTCTAACACAATGTATAATACCATGTCTATACAATGTATAACACAATGTATAACACAATGTCAAGACCACTGAAGCTGGGGGAAGTTAACTTGACCTCTGGTCCTGGGGCATCTCGAAGCCTCAGTCCCTCAGCAGAGAAACAGGGCTAACAACGCCACCCTTACTGCTTGTGAGTTTGTGAAGTGAGAATAAATGGTCTAGTAGGGACCTAGACTAGCTTAATAGAGAGGATTGAGCAATTATACAATTAGGTCTCTTGATCTGGGATAGATTTGAATGAAAAGGAAAGTGGGGTTTCAAGGTCAAGGAGGGACGGAGAGTGCTAGTCAAGACAGCAAATCCCAAATTAAGGAATACATTTCTCAACTCTCTGACCCAAGCAGGTGTCAGCCTGCAGGTCTACAGCTCTGAGCCCAAGCCCAACTCTCGGTGGACGGAGCGCGAGAAAGACGCCACCAGGGCGGCGGAACGGGACAGGGTCCAGCCGGAGAGGCGCCGCGCTCCCGCAGAGCCCCGCCCACGGCCCCGCCCCGCGCCCAGGCCCCGCCCGAGGACCCGCCCCGTCACACGGCCCCGCTGCGTCTCCCGAGCCGCAGGCGCAGGCCCAGCCGAGCCGGCAGCGTAGCGGGTGTGGGTGCGGGTGCGAGTGCGGACGAAGCGGTGGCCGACCCCGCGGCCGCGCAGCGGACAGTGGGCGCAGCGTCCTGAGGCGCCCCGCGACTGGTGAGTCCCCGGCCGTAGCACAGCCGCGTGTCTACCGGTTCAGCCGGCCGGCCGCTGCCACCCCCGCGCGAGCCCTGCGCAGCCGAAGGGCGTCGCGGTGGGTCAATCTGTCGGTCCGGCCGCCGCGCGGCCCGCAGGGCCCGGGGAGTGGGGTGCGGCGGCGGCGGCGGCGGCGGGGACCCGGAGGACCCCGCGCGGGCAGGCGAGCGGGGGCGGCGCGCTGCGGGGACAGTAGGACCGCCGCTCGAGCGCCCCCCAAACGGGCAAGGAGGCCCACCCCGCCCTCGGTGCGGGGTCCGTGGCCGCCGCTGCCGCCGCCCGGCTCGCCCCCACGTCCGCTTTGTTCCCCTGCACGCCCTCTGGTCTCTTCCATCCCCCACACACCCCCGCAACCCGCTGTTCTTGGCGTACCCCACCGGCAGGCAGCCAGGCAGCCGATCCAGGCCTGCTGCCCCCACCCGGGAGCGAGGGACGGTCGGGCCCTGCTCTGGGAGAGGGGCTCAGGGCTCTGGTTGGTCACAGATGGCCTGGGGATTTCCTGGGATAGAAATAGCCGCCTGCCCTGGCCCCTTAAAGCTGCTTAAGGGGCGGGATGTGAAGGGGAGGGTCCGGGCACACCCCAACACCTCCCCGACCGCGCCCCCGGCCGACACCCAGGATGAGCTCTGCCCCGGAGACGCCAGCAGCGGTGACAGGGCCCCTCGAGGTGCTTGTGAGAAACCGCGGAAGCCCCAGAATCCCGAGGCTGACAAAGTCATCCCTTCCTCCCTCCCCTCCTTCCCCTCTGGGGTCGGTCTGTGGTAGCCCCTGCTGAAGCCGTCTGCGCAGCCACCCGGCCCCCACCCGCCTCTCCTGGCCCCCAGCTTGGGACTCCCCACTGCCCTAGGGCAGAGGTCATAATCCCCCTCCTTCCGTCCTGGTTCCAGGCAGCAGGTGCCCTCCCCCCCCCCCCCACCCCCCTGCTGGCTTCTGTCGCGGCAGGCTAACTGTTCTCTCTCTGTCCTCTAGGGGGAGACCACAGAAACTGAGGCCATGTCCCATGAAAAGAGTTTCTTGGTGTCTGGGGACAGCTATCCTCCCCCCAACCCTGGATATCCCGGAGGGCCCCAGCCCTCCATGGCACCCTACCCAGGGGCCCCTTACCCACAGGCCCCGTTCCAGCCATCCCCCTATGGCCAGCCAGGGTATCCCCAGGGCCCCAGCCCTTACCCCCAAGGTGGTTACCCTCAGGGCCCCTACCCCCCTGGGGGCTACCCCCAGGGCCCCTACCCCCCAGGGGGGTACCCCCAGGGCCCCTACCCGCCAGGGGGCTACCCTCAGGGGCCATATCCGCAGAGCCCCTTTCCCCCCAACCCCTACGGACAGCCACAGGCCTTCCCAGCACAGGACCCTGGCTGTGAGTATCGGGGCGGGACAGGGAGCGGGCAGGGGCTCCCACATGAGTAAGGGGCGCTGACTGCCCCTCCTGCTCCTCAGCACCTCATCATGGGAACTATCACGAGGAGGGGCCACCATCCTACTATGACAACCAGGACTTCCCTGCCACCAACTGGGACGACAAGAGCATCCGCCAGGCCTTCATCCGCAAGGTGGGCCTTGGGGGCTGGGGATGTGGGCAGCTGTGCTGGCGGGGCTCTGAGCCGCCTCCCTCTCCAGGTGTTCCTGGTGCTGACCCTGCAGCTGTCCGTGACCCTGTCCACCGTGGCTGTGTTCACCTTCGTCGGGGAGGTGAAGGGCTTTGTCCGGGAAAACGTCTGGACCTACTATGTCTCCTATGCCGTCTTCTTCGTCTCCCTCATTGTCCTCAGCTGCTGTGGGGACTTCCGGCGGAAGCACCCCTGGAACCTTGTTGCGCTGGTAACTCCCAGGACCCTGCCTCTGCACCCCACATCTCAGGCTTTGGAGCAACAGAGGGCATGGGGCGGGGTGGGAGGGGCCGTGGCTCTGGGTGCTGAAACACCATCTCCCCACAGTCGATCCTGACTGTCAGCCTGTCCTACATGGTGGGCATGATCGCCAGCTTCTACAACACCGAGGCGGTCATCATGGCCGTAGGCATCACCACAACCGTCTGCTTCACAGTGGTCATCTTCTCCATGCAGGTGAGGGGCCCCCGGGGGCAGGGCTGCCAACCCCCGGGGCCCAGAGGCCCCCTGGGACGGCAGCAGCCAGTGGCTCCTGTGCGCGTCTGTGCCCGCAGACCCGCTATGACTTCACGTCCTGCATGGGCGTGCTCCTGGTGAGCATGGTAGTGCTCATTCTCTTCGCCATCCTCTGCATATTCATCCGGAACCGCATCCTGGAGATCGTGTATGCCTCGCTGGGTGCTCTGCTGTTCACCTGCGTGAGTGCCGGAGCCGTGGCCCAGGTGGGGGGCTGGGCAGGGGTCATGTTCCTTGACACGGCCGCTCTGTCACCCACAGTTCCTGGCAGTGGACACTCAGCTGCTGCTGGGGAACAAGCAGCTGTCCCTGAGCCCGGAGGAGTATGTGTTTGCTGCGCTGAACCTCTACACGGACATCATCAACATCTTCCTATACATCCTCACCATCATTGGCCGCGCCAAGGAGTAGCCTGAGCCCGCTCGCATGGGGCCCCTCAGGTGGCATGCCCGGCCTGGCCCCTGCCCCAGCGTGGCAGCTCCTCTCAGCTCCCCTCTCTCATCCCCGTGTGCTGCCTGGGACAGGGAGCCACCCGACCCTCCCGTGTGTACACCGCAGACACTTCTGTCTGGACCCGCCGCGGCCAGCATGGCCCCTTCCAGCCGTCCCATCCTGCCACAGGGCAGCGGGGCCAGGTTTCCGTGCCCCCTCCCGCCCACCCAGTGTTGCATGAGCCCTGTCTGCCAGTCCACTCCAGGGTCTGGGGGCAACACCAGGCCTCAGGGGCGAGCGATGGAGCCACGAGGTGAGGGTGCACGTCTCCCCTCCTGTCCCTGCTCCCCGGCCTGGCGTACAGCCTCCCCCCCCCACTGGAGTGCTGCCCTCTGGGGGACCTGCGGGGTGAGGGTCTCGTCCCTATGCTAGTCCTGAGGGCAGAGAGGAGGGAACAGTCCAGGTCAGGAGGGTGCCTTCCCCTCATTCTGCTGTCTGTAAAATTCCAATAAACGGGACCCTCTGCACTCTGTGTTCCCTTCCTCACTCCTCACTGCCACTTCCTCCCCGAGGCAGGGAGGGTTCTGGGTGTTAGCAGAGTGAGGCGGCGAGCAGGACCCGGACAGGCAGGAGCCGGACAAGCATTGCTGGCGGGGCCTGGCCCTGGCAGAGGGTGAAGGCAGCAGCCTCTCCACGCCTCCACCTCCTTGCAGCCTTCCCAGCCATGTCCTGCGTGCTGTGCCAGGAGGCCCGGCTGATGGACGGGACCCGGGGCTCCCAGATCACATGCTGTCTGCCACTCATGCCTGGGACCTGCCTGGCATGACGGAGGGTCCTGTGAGACCTCACCATCCTCCCCCAGGCCTGAGGGGCAGCAGCACGGGTCACTGACTGCCCCCCCCCAGGCAGGACTGTCCTGCTCCTCTGGTTCTGAAAGGCCCCCAGGAGCCCATCAGTGGGCACCTGACAGGTGGCACTGCACGCCCCCCCAGACACCTGCAGACCAGGGCCCCCAGGGTGAAGTGGGATGGAGACCCTGAGGCCCCCTGGCCTGCCTCTGGCGCCTTCCAGCAGTCTCTCCAGACCCCACCCCTCCGTGGCCTCAGCCCCAGCTGGTCCTGCATGGCCTCCTGCGGCTCTCACTGTCCCCCCCTCCAGAGCCTACCCCTGCCTCCTCAGCTCTGACGTGTGCACCTGCCCTCCTCACAGAGGGGTCCCACCGCGGCCCTGAGCCCTCCTGAGCCCCCAGCCCAGTGGACACTCCTGACCGGCCTTCGCCCGTGGGACCTGCTGTCCATTTGGCTTGAGACCCCTCTCCCACGGCTTCCCCACCTTCCTACCCACCACCCCATTAACCCGGTCCATTAACTGGTGCCAGTACCACAGCATCTCTGAATGGATGCCCGCTCTATGCCAGCACCCCCAAGCTCACAGGCACCTCATCATGGCCTACGCTGCCCCTGCTGCTCCCACATAAGCCCTATCAGTGTCCACAGGCCCCCCCAGGCCAGAGACGCGTGTCCCCTCCACCCTCGTCCATCCTGCCCCACCCCTTCCCCACCTGCGGCCCCTCCCTGAGGCCTCCTGTGCTCAGCTGACAGCTCACCCCCACCAAGTCTCTGCCCGCTGCCAGGCGTGCTACCGACACATGGACCACACCACGTGCCTGATAGCAGCTGGCAGCACGAAGTCAACGTTCCCTGAAGGCTGCTCGAGTTGGCCTTCCACTGTTCCTATGCCCTTCAACCCGAAATGGACCTTGCTCGTCCTGAGCCGCGGGGAGGCCCCACTTCCCTGGGCAGGCTGCACACTGCCTTCCCAGAGTCCAACTCACCCTGCACGGCAGTTTTGCTCCACGCCAGCACCACTACCCTCAGTAACTCTGCTTTGTTCACATGCCGGGCAGGTGTCGCCGCTCCCCTCCCCTACCTCTCCTGGAGCAGGTGCGGCTCTCATCCAGGATTCCCTGCCTGCAGGAGCCAAGCATGCTGACACCTGCTCCAGGTAGCGCTCCTGGGCTTCGAACCCCAGCAGAGGCAGGAGGGGCAGCTCAGGAATGAACCCCAAGCAAGGGTGGAAGGCCAGTGTCTGCTCAGGGAATGCAAGGAGGACAAAATCTTGGCTAGGCGAATCCTTGGCAGAGGCTCCTGGGGACCATCAGGGGCCAGAGGTGTGGGCCGGGCCAAGGTCTGGAAGCTGGGCCGCTACGGGAGGGGAGGTCAGGGCTGCACACGGATGAGGCCTTGAGCTTGCCCTGCTGGGGAAGGGGACTGGCAGGAGCCACCGCTGAGCGTGTGCTCAGGAAGACGAGTCCAAGGAGAGAGTGTCCAGAAGAGGGGCTGGGCTCCAAAAGGCACAGGGAGGAAGCAGACCAGACGGCAGACGGGAGCAGGCTCAGGGTGGCTGGCAGTGGCCACAGGGGCCCAGTCGAGGCGGGCAGGGCATTTCTGCCAATGGAGTTTGGCCTGCTGTCTGCTGTGTCCTCCGCCGCTGGGAAGGAGATACGGGGCAGCTTGTGTCTAACCAGGTGGGTAAGTGTGAAGAAGCCACAGGAGAGGTGAGGTCAGCCAGGGAGACTGTTCAGGTGAGGTGAGGCAGCCCCCAGATCCTGGAGCTGCACTGGCGCACTCAGATACGGCCGTGGTGGTCTACGGTGTAGAACATACAGCTTCACATGAGACCAGGTCAGACAGGGCCCCTCTGTGCCAGATCGGATCGAGAGAAAAGACTCCTCTGTCGTAACGTCTGAACACAGGCCAGATGCGGGCATTGTCCATGCCATAAAGAAGACCTACTGTGTGCCTCCTGTCCTACCTCATCTGAGCAGCTGGCTCTTCAAAGTGGGCAGCTTTAGCTGGCCCCTAGTCTGTCCTCCCCAACAAGTTGCTGTTGAGATGCACAGTCTCAGGAAACGGCCCCACCCCGTTCACCCAAACAAGTCCTTCCTGTGTCCCGTCCTGGGCCCCCCTCCTGGGCCCCCCAGAGATACACAGTAAGCCTGTCTTACTGTGTAAGACACCCAGGGATAGGGTGTTGGTGGGCTTCCTCTGGAGCCTTGAGGAGGACTAATTTATTCTTCAGTCAAAATGTTTATTTACACGACTAATCGTGTAAGTCCATTCGTGTTTTCAGATGAAGCGATGCATGGGACTTCCCTGGTGCTCCAGAGGTTAAGACTCCATACTCCCAGTGCAGGCGGTTCCATCTCCAGTCAGGGAACTGGATCCCACATCCAGCAACCAGAGGTCCCTGCGCCACAGCTACGACCCGGCGCAGCCAAATCAACCACTATTTTTTTTTTCATTTATTTTTATTAGTTGGAGGCTAATTACGTTACAATATTGTAGTGGGTTTTGTCATACATTGACATGAATCAGCCACGGATTTACATGTATTCCCCATCCCGATCCCCCCTCCCAAAAAATATGGAATGCTTCACGAATTTGCGTGTCATCCTTGCGCAGGGGCCATGCTAATCTTCTCTGTATCGTTCCAATTTTAGTATATGTGCTGCCGAAGAGAGCACTAACCACTATTTTTTAAAGAAAGATTAAAGGACACAGAATCTCAGCACCATCACTGCGCCTGATGAGAAGCACCATGTGGGCAGCACAGGACCCCACGCACAGGACCCCACACGCTCAGCAGCCTGCAGCTGCCCTGTGCCGCCTGCCCTGCTAACCAGTGCTGCCCTCAGCCTCTGGAGCTGGAGGAGCCTTCAGGACAGGCACTCGACCTGCACATCCTGACACCCAGGCCAGCATCTAGTCCAGAGTGGGTGTGCTGTGGGCGTAGACCGTGGAAGGAGTGGGGAACTCTATGCGGCGTGAGCCACCCAGGCACCAACTGCCCCAAGACCAGGCAGAGAGCACTGCAGACTCTGGACTCTGGTCAGCATCAGCATCAGTGGGAAGCACTTGAGGAGTGCAGGCAGCAGAACTGAAAGCCCAGGACACTTGTGGAGGCCCATCTAGGGGAGCAGGTAGAAGAGCGAGGAGGTGAGAGTGCAGTGGAGGGTCGAGGTTGGCGTGTCAGCTGTGGACACAGAGCTCGAGTCCAAACTCTTCTGCAGGCAGGGATGAACCACTGGGACCTTCCAGTGAAGAGCCTGGAAGTGGCCTGAGTAAAGGCAGGAGAATCAGCGAGGCCCACAGTGAGGGCCTGGCCTGGGGGGCATGGGGCGCTGGGAGGGGAGGCACTGATGGCAGGTGCTGTGGCTCTCCACGCTGCCCTTCCCCACCGGGCCCAGACACTGTGCCCCAGGCAGCAGCATGGCTTGGCCCATCTGCCGCCAAAACATTCGTGTTCCTGAGTTCTGCTTTGTCTCAGGCTTGTCAGGAACTGGGGACCTTGCAGAACTCTCTAGATGCAAACAACGCCCACCACACACACACACACACACACACACACACACAGCCAAACATCTCAACTCCCATCTATGCCACTTTCATAAAGCCTTGTGAAATGAAAGATTTCCTGCCATATCGGTGGGCAAGAAATGTCACAGCCATCAGCTATTTCGGGCCTCCAAATGTGAGTGAGGGCTCCCAAAAGGGAACGCGATGCCTGCGGCCCAGCAGATGCCACCACCCCCACGGTGACTGCTGAGGAGCCATCTGCCACTCCTTAAGGTGAACCAGGAATCAAGGATGTGAACAATCCAGAAACAGGGTTTGACCCCAGAGAGCTGAGTAAAGAACCCACCTACCAATGCAAGAGACATAAAAGACGCGGGTTTGATCCCTGGGTTAGGAAGGTCCCATGGAGGAGGGTATGGCAATCCACTCCAGTATTCTTGCCTAGAGAATCCCATGGACAGAGGAGCCTGGTGGGCTACAGTCCATGGGGTTGCACAGAGCCGGACATGACTGAAGCCACTGAGCACGCGTGTGTGTTATACATATATAACTGAATCACTTTGGTGTACACCTGAAACTAACACAACATTGTAAATCAACTATACTTCTACTTGGGAAAAAAAAAAAAGATAGTTGTGCTGGAGTAAGGTGGCCCCTAATTCAACATGACTGGTGTCCTTATAAAAAGGGGACTCTTGGACACGGGCACCTTCTCTGCCACCAGGTCCCTGCATTAGCGTGGATGGTTTCACGGAACTGCCGCAGCCTCCTGATGAAGAGGAACCAGCAGATGCCTGGCTCAGAACCCACTCATCTGCGGCCCTGAGACACTTTCCACTACAACAGGTGGATTCTCCACAGGACAGACAGTGGCAAGGTCGTTGAGGTCGTTGTGAATCGGGAATCCAGCATGTGGACCACTGTCTACAGCCATGAGGGCCACCCTCTGCACCTGGGAGCACAGTGCCGCCCACAGGACGCATGTGATGGGGAAGAGGAAGCTGACTGCCCATACCCAGGCCCTGCCCCCCAAGCAATAAAGACGTCTAAAGCTTTCCTCAAAAACAACAGCAAAATATTATACTGGAGGCCCCAACCAGCACAATAGGACAAGGAAAAAAGGCGTGTTTATCTATAGTAACATGATCATGTGCATAGAAAATTCTAAGAAATCTACCGAAAACCTGCTAGAACTAACAAAAGAGTTTGACAGAGTCATGGATACAGGTCAACAATAAAAAAATCATAAACTAAAAAAAAAAATCATAAACTATACATAGCCACAAACATAAAAATTTAAAACTATATATCACAAAACCATAGACTGCATAGAGATTGTGGCAGAGGCTCCCTAAGATCATTCTCAGGTTTGTTGATTCATTAGAACTCAGGATTCAGCTATACTCCTGCTCATGGCAATAATTTATTACACAGAAAGGATATGAAGCAAAATCTGCACAGAAAAAAGACAAGATGTGAAGGAAACCCAGTGCAAGCTTTTAGGAGTCTTCTCCCTGTGGAGTCACACAGCATGAACTTAATTCTCTGAGCAATGAGTTGGGACAATACGTGTGCAATGTTGTCTATGAAGGAAGCATATTAGAAACCTAGTGCTGAGCTTCTCATAGGCGGCTGGTCATACAGGCACCCTCTGCCCAACAGCAACCAAAATTCCAGACTATCAGAAGGAGATCACAAGCTCAGCATAAGCCTCATTGTTTGAACCAAGAGTTGGGCACAGCACGCCATTCTTATCAGTTTATCAGTTCTGAGAACTATGGGAACTCTCTGAAAAATTCCCAGATGACCAAGGCCAAGCAGACCCTTCTAAGAATGGCAGTCTCATGTCTGCTTTGTCTCTTCACAGTGGTAAACAACAAAATACGTGCAATGCATGTCTCCTGAAAACTACAGAGCATTTCTGAGATTTTGAAAGATAAGTAGATGTACCATGTTCACGCATCAGACTCAATAGTGATATCAGTTCTTTCCAGATTGATCTAGAAATTCAACACACAGTTCCAATGAAAATCTTATCAGGCTTTATTGTAGACATTGACAAACACCTTAAGTATATATGGAAACATGAAAGATTTCAAAAAGCCGAAACAATTTTGAAAAGGAACAAGGTTGGAGGACCTGATTTCAAAATTTACTGTAAAGCTGTAATGATTGAGACGGTATAATAGTGTCCTAAGGGAGACATACAGATCAGTGGACAGAATAGAAAATCCAGAAATATACTATACATATTTCTTTAAACAAATGGTAATAGAACAATTAGATATCGGTATTAAAGAGAAAGAACCTCCACTCTTACCTTACAGCAGCTACAAAAATTAACTTGAAATGGACCATAGACCTAAATATGAAAGCTAAACTTAAAAAAAAACTTCTAGATAAAATGTAGACAGACTTCCTAAATAGGACACAAAAAGCACAGACCATTTAAAAATTTTTTTGATAAAAGCTTTTGCTCTTGAAAAGGAAATGAAATGACAAGCCACAACTCGGAGAAAATATTTGCAATACATGTATTTGCAAAGGGTTACAGTTGTATCTAGATGTACAAGTGTTGTTGTTGCTATCCAGTTGATAAGTCCTGTCTGGCTCTTTTGCAGCCCTGTGGGCTGTAGTGCATGAGGCTCCCCTGTCTGTGGGATTCTCCAGGCAACAATACTGGAGTGGGCTGCCATTTCCTTCTCCAGGGGATCTTTCTGACCCAGTCTCCTGCATTGGCAGGCAGTTTCTTTACCTCTGAGCCACCAGGGAATGTCATAATTAGAAGACACTCAACCTAATTTTTTTTAAATGGGCAAAAATTTTTAGGAAGCTCATAAAAGAAGATACATAGGAACTTCACTGGCAGTCCAGTGGTTGACTCTGTGCTTCCACTGCAGGGGGTGCAGGTTTGATCCGTCATTGGAGAACTAACATCCTGCAAGCCTCTAAGCCAAAAAAAAAAAAAAAAGGAAAGAAAATTTCTTTAATTGAATAAAAATGAAAATACAATATATCAAGTTTAAAAACTACATATTAAAAAAGAAGATATGCAAACGGCCAGTAAGCACATGAATTATTTCCAAAATCATTAGCCATCAAGGACACGCAATTTAAAACTACAATGAAATACCACTCTACATTCAGTAGAACAGCTAAAATTAAAAGATTAACATTAGCATATTGCCAAAGATGCAGAGCAACTGGAATTCTCATTTACCATTGGTAGAAAAGTAAAACGGGGAACTTTCCAGAACGCTCGGTGAAAGGCAGAGGAGCGGCGGCTGCCCGAGCTGCGCACAGCAACGCGCTCCTTCCCGCTCCCCCACACCGGCATCGGCCCGCTCACGGGCTGTAGAAAATGGTGAAAGAAACCACTTACTATGATGTTTTTGGGGTCAAACCCAATGCCACCCAAGAAGAATTGAAAAAGGCTTACAGGAAACTGGCCTTGAAGTACCACCCTGATAAGAATCCAAATGAAGGCGAGAAGTTTAAACAGATTTCTGAAGCTTATGAAGTACTTTCTGATGCAAAGAAAAGGGAATTATATGACAAAGGAGGAGAACAGGCAATTAAAGAAGGTGGAGCAGGTGGTGGTTTTGGCTCCCCCATGGACATCTTGGATATGTTTTTCGGAGGAGGAGGCAGGATGCAGAGAGAGAGGAGAGGTAAAAATGTTGTGCATCAACTTACAGTAACTTTAGAAGATTTATATAATGGTGCAACAAGATAACTAGCTCTGCAAAAGAATGTGATTTGTGACAAATGTGAAGGCCGAGGTGGTAAGAAAGGAGCGGTAGAATGCTGTCCCAATTGCCGGGGTACTGGAGTGCAAATAAGAATTCATCAGATAGGACCTGGAATGGTTCAGCAAATTCAGTCTGTCTGCATGGAGTGCCAGGGCCATGGGGAGCGGATCAGTCCTAAAGATAGATGCAAAAGCTGCAATGGAAGGAAGATAGTTCGAGAAAAGAAAATTCTAGAAGTTCATATTGACAAAGGCATGAAAGATGGCCAGCAGATAACATTCCATGGTGAAGGAGACCAAGAACCAGGACTGGAGCCAGGAGATATTATCATTGTTTTAGATCAGAAGGACCATGCTGTTTTTACTCGACGAGGAGAAGATCTTTTCATGTGTATGGACATACAGCTGGTTGAGGCATTGTGTGGCTTCCAGAAGCCAATATCTACTCTTGACAACCGAACCATAGTCATCACTTCTCATCCAGGTCAGATCGTCAAGCATGGAGATATCAAGTGTGTGCTAAATGAAGGCATGCCAATTTATCGTAGGCCCTATGAAAAGGGTCACCTAATCATTGAATTTAAGGTAAACTTTCCTGAGAATGGCTTTCTCTCTCCTGATAAACTCTCTTTGCTGGAAAAACTTCTGCCTGAGAGGAAGGAAGTAGAAGAGACTGATGAAATGGACCAGGTAGAATTAGACTTTGATCCAAATCAGGAAAGACAGCGTCATTACAATGGAGAAGCATATGAGGATGATGAACATCATCCTCGGGGTGGTGTTCAGTGTCAGACCTCTTAGTAGGCCTGTGAATAACACTCACTGCTGGGGTTTTATTGCAGTAGTGATTGAGTGAAGGACTATAATTATAATATGCTCACTACTTGCTTTTGTTTTAATATTCAACTATAGTAGTGTTTAAAAGTTAAATGAAGAATAAACTCGAATATAAAAGCTCAAAAAAAAAAAAAGAAAAGTAAAACGGTATAACCACTTTGGAAAACAAATCTGGCAGTTTATAACAGATATTTACAGAATGAAAACCACAATCACAGAAAACTAACCAAACTGATCACATGGACCACAGCTTTGTCTAACTCAGTGAAACTATGAGCATGCCGTGTAGGGCCACCCAAGATGGACGGGTCTTGGTGGAGAGTTCTGACAAGATGTGGTTCTCTGGAGAAGGGAATGGGAAACCACATCAGTATGCTTGCCTTGAGAACTCCATGAACAGTATGAAAAGGCAAAAAGATATAACACTGAAAGATGAACTTCCCAGGTCGGTAGGTGCCCAACATGCTACTGGAGAAGAGAGTGGAGAAATAATTCCAGAAACCATGAAGAGACAGAGCCAAAGCGAAAATAACACCCAGATGTGGATGTGACTGGTGATGGAAGTGAAGTCCGATGTTGTAAAGAACAATATTGCATAGGAACCTGGAATATTAGATCCATGAATCAAGGTAAATTGGAAGTGGTCAAACAGGAGATGGCAAGAGTGAACACTGACATTTTAGGAATCAGTAAACTAAAATGGACTGGAATGGGAGAATTTAATTTGGATAACCATTATATGTACTACTGTGGGCAAGAACCCCTTAGAAGAGATGGAGTAGCCCTCAAGTCAACAAAAGAGTCCGAAATGCAGTCCTTGGATGCAATCTCAAAAATGACAGAATGATCTGTTTGTTTCCAAGGCAAACCATTCAATATCAAGGTAATCCAAGTCTATGCTTTAACCAGTAATGCCGAAGAAACTGAAGTTGAATGGTTCTATGATGATCTACAAGACCTTCTAAGACTAACACCAAAAAAAAGATGTCTTTTTCATCATAGGTGACTGGAATGCAAAAGTAGGAGGTCAAGAGATACCTGGAATAACAGGCAAGTTCAGCCTTGGAGTACGAAATGAGGCAGTCAAAGGCTAACAGAGATTGTCAAGAGAACACACTGGTCATAGCAAACACCCTCTTCCAACAACACAAGAGAAGACTCTACACACGGACATCACCAGACGGTCAATACTGAGATCAGATTGATTATATTATTTGCAGCCAAAGATGGAAAAGCTCTAGACGGTCAGAAAAACAAGACTGGGAGCTGACTGTGGCTCAGATCATGAACTGCTTATTGGCAAATTCAGACTTAAATTGAAGAAAGTAGGGAAAACCACTAGACCATTCAGATATGACCTAAATCAAATCCCTTACAGTGAAAGTGAGAAATAGACTCAAGGGATTAGATCTGATAGACAGAGTGCCTGAAGAATTATGGACAGAGGTTCATGACATTGTACAGGAGGCAAGGATCAAGACCATCCCCAAGAAAAAGAAATGCAAAAAGGCAAAATTGTTGTCTGAGGAGGCCTTACAAATTGCTGAGAAAAGAAGAGAAGCAAAAGGCAAAGGAGAAAAGGAAAGATATACCCATCTGAATGCAGAGTTCCAAAGAATAGCAAGGAGAGATAAGAAAGCCTTCCTCAGTGATCAATGCAAAGAAATATGCAGAGTACATCATGTGAAATGCCGGGCTGGATAAAGCACAAGCTGGAATCAAGATTGCTGAGAGAAATATCAATAACCTCAGATATGCAGATAACACCACCCTTATGGCAGAAAGCAAAGAACTAAAGAGCTTCTTGATGAAAGTGAAAGAGGAAGTAAAAAAGCTGACTTAAAGCTCAACATTCAAAAAGCAAAGATCATGGCATCTGGCCCCATCATTTCATGGCAAATAGATAGGGAAGAAGTGACAGATGTTATTTTCTTGGGCTCCAAAATCACTGCAGATGGTGACTGTAGCCATGAAATTAAAAGATGCTTGCTCCTTGGAAGAAAAGCTATGACAAAGCTAGACAGCATATTAAAAAGCAGAGACATTACTTTGTCCACAAAGGTCCGTCTAGTCAAAGCTATAGTTTTTTCAGTAGTCATGTATGGATGTGAGAGTTGGACTATAAAGAAAGCTGAGTGCCGAAGAATTGATGCTTTTGAACTGTGGTGTTGGAGAAGACTCTTGAGAGTCCCTTGAACTGCAAGGAAATCCAACTAGTCAATCCTAAAGGAAATCAGTCCTGAATATTCACTGGAAAAATTGATACTGAAGCTGAAACTCCAATATTTTGGCCACCTGATTCGAAGAACTGACTCATTTGAAAAGACTCTGATGCTGGGAAAGATTGAGGGCAGGAGGAGAAGGGGACAACAGAGGATGAGATGGTTGGACGACATCACCGACTCAATGGACATGAGTTTGAGTAAACTCCAGGAGTTGGTGATGGACAGGGAAGTCCGGCTTGCTGCAGTCCATGGGGGTCTCAAAGAGTCAGACACAACTGAGCGACTAAACTGAACTGAATTGTATGATCTAGCAGTTCTATTCCCATATTTTTATCCAAAGATTTATATACAAGTGTCCATAGAAGCCTTATTCATAATAACCAAAAAAAGGAAATGACTGAAATGTCCAGGGACAGGTAAAGGAATAAACTCATTGTGATAGTCATATAACAGAATACTACTCAGCTATAAGAAGGAACAAACTAGTAATGCACACAACCACAAGGATGTCTCTCAAAAACACCAGGCTGAACAAAAGAAACCAGACACAAAGGAACGTACACCTCCAAAGAAGACTAACCTGTTAGGACCAGGGATGGGAACTGAGGATTACTAGAAAAAGCACAGGGAAACTTTGGGGGTAACAGAAAAATTCTATACCTCATTGTAGTGGTGATCACATGGCACACACTTTTTCCACAGCTCATCAAACTGTTTGCTTAAAACAGGTACATTTTATTGAGTGAGAATTACACCTCAATAACGTTTGTTTGTTTGTTTGTTTCCAATGAATGTGGGCAAAAGGTTAACAAACCATTTCCTCTTCTGCTTGAGAATTTGACCTTTGGTTAACTCTCTAGCTATGTTCCCTGGTAACCAGATACAGGTAGAGTATTAATGATTTAAATAGGGACACTGCTTATGGTAACAATCACCGCTATTGGAAGCTGCGTGTAGACAGGGAGAAACTAGAAATGAACCATGAATGCCTGAGAAAAGCCATAACCCTGAGCTTCCTGGAGGAAAGTGACTCCTGAAGCAGAGCATGTCCCTTACAGAGACTCTGGAAGCTAGGTCTATGCAACTGTTGTTCCTGTGAGGTGTAGGATTTGGAAGCCCTGCCCAGTGTGGATCTGATCCTCTTGTGTGTGGGCTAGCACCTAAGATCCAAACATGTAGTCTCGATGGCTATATAAATTGCTCCATGGGAACCTCCCTGGTGGTGCAGAGACTAAGACTCCGTGCTCCCAGTTCAGGGGGTGCAGGTTCGATCCCCGGTCAGGGAACTAGATCCCACATGCAGCAATTAAGGGTTCCCCTGCCTCAACTAAAGAACCCACGTGCCACAACTGAGACCTGGTGCAGCCAATAAATAAACAAATAAATACTTTTTTAAAAGATCACTCCATGATTGCTTCAGAAAAAGATGATTGTAGCCCCACTGCTGGCCATCTGTGTTCCTGGCATGTCTGAACAGATGGTTGCAAGGGTGGTCTTTGGTCGTCTTGAAGATGGGGCTGGATATTTAATAGACTAAGAAGACCCCCTGATAGACACGGCAATGTGTATCTCTCAAATGGCCATGAAACATGATGATATGTTTATCTCATAAATTATCAAGGGATTGCACATCTAGTCCTAAAGCAGTGCCAGGCACAAAGTAAGCACTCAATAGACATTTGTTGACTGGCTGAATGAAATCAAGACTGCAATGAGATATTAGTTAATATCAACTGGAAAAAAATCAAGAAGTCTGACAACATTGAGATCTGGAGAAGATATACAGCAGCTGGATCACGTCACACTTTGCTGGTAAGTAAGTCAAACAGCAAATCACTCCTCTGGGATGAGCCCCTGCCGCCCCCCCAGGGCCAGATGGCCTTTGCTGCGGTGCCCCAGTCAAGCCCTCACCTGCCTGTTGGCCTGTGTGCCCCACTTACTGTAATTCTCCGTGAAGCGTGTGGTACCATCACAGTCACCTGAGTACCCAGCAGGGCACACGGCACACAGTTGGTGCTCAATAAGTCTCGTCCTTGTTGGATTGCCTTGTGTATTAAAGAGCACACAGCACTGTCAGAGTCCAGTGTGGTGCGGTGGCAATGGGAGAGCTCCCTCAAGGTGCAGGTGACACCCACAGAAAAAGGATTAGCCCTCCTATGGGTGATTCTCTCAAGGGGCCTGGGAGAGTGTCCCGGCCGCCTGGAGAAGCACTCCATCCCGGGGACGTCGGGAGGCAGCAGGCAGGACGCTGAGCATCAGTTCACAGACTGTGGCTTCCAGAGGTCCGGGAACCACCAGAGTCCAGCAACGGCACGGGGAAAGCCACAAGGCTTTTGAGGAAAACGGGGCTAGAAGCACAGTGTGCAAAAATGTCACCAACGACGCGCTCAGAAAGTCTTAACAGCGTGATAGAAGTGACAACACAGGTTTACACGTGTTACGTGGCTAAGAAATACAGGAATACTACAAAAAATGTGGGGTTTACCTTGAAGAAGACGTGAAGCCAGTTTACAGAAGTGGGTGGGGGAAAGGTTGTGGCTTGTGGGTTATTGTGAAATGTCTGAAATCGGATGGGAAATTGTAACATGGATGTAGGGGGTGTGGCTCAGCACAGTGCTGACTGGTGAACTGAAGCAGCTGGCAGATGTCTGAGGTGTGTGTCTTGCACCTTTCTAGGTGGTTGTGGTCCATTCAGCTGGGTCCAGTTTTTGCTTTCTGTTTTCACCTATTTCTCATAAA